ACTTTCCCGGCTCAATACCTTATCTTTGTCCACATTATTATGTCATTGTCTTTCAATTATATTGCTTTTCAAACCAACCTGATCCATTTGTATTTATATTCTGTTATAGTCAGCTGAGGCGGGGTAAATCAGCTCATTTATTTTTAACCTACTCATTGGCCAAAAGAAAAATGTGTTCTTTTTAAAATGAAGCTATACCGCTAATAAAAATGTAGTCACCCAGTGTTTTGTGAAAGTTATTGAGCTAATTACAAGTTTTCTTGAATGAAAGAAAATGCAACCTTATCATATAATAACCTGAGAAGAAATAAAGACACAACATCAAGCGCATGTACACAGGCCTAACGTTAAAAAGGCCTAGTGTCCAGTAGAAAAGGAAAATGAAATGACCATGAAGTTTGCAGTAGAGTGGCATTGAGGACTACAATTTTAACCTGAGACTACAGATGTTTGATGTTTTGTATCCTCAGCAATAACAAATATTTCAGTTGTCCTTTAATTTCTGTATCTTGATGTGTCTTTTTAATCAGCTCTCTTACTTTTTGAGAGACTAAGAGGGAGCACTTTGTCCAACTCGTTCCAGTCACAAATCCATCTTCCCAGCTCTGCTAAAAGCAATCCCAGGTGTACATCAAAATGGGAGATGAAGGTTTCTTCACACCTGGCTGGCTGAACAAGTTTCAGTACATCTTGATAAAAATGTTTGTTTTAGTTTGGACAATTTTATTTATTCCACGTTGGTTTCGCAAAGCTTGGACAGCTGATTGTTGTAGCCATTTTAAGTTAGTGTATTTTCTTTTCACCGACCCAAAACGTCAACTTTCCTACTCCGATGCTGCCTGGCCTGCTGTGTTCCTCCAGCTCCACACTGTGTTATCTTTGGTTCCCTTTTCTTAGGAAGACATACTGGCATTGGAAGGAGTCCAGTAAAGCTTCATCCAGTTATGGAGGGACTGTCTTATGAGGAGAGGTTGAGTAGGTTGTAGCCTGGTCCTGAGCTCTGATCAATTAGCTTTACAAGATTCCCAGATGTCAGATGTGGATTGACCCTCAAATAGCCATCCCCAATCTACATCCCTGCCTAATATTGTGATAGTAAGCTTCCCCCCTACTTTGGTTCTCACCCGAGGAATCTCTTATATTTATTCATGAGTAATGTAAAACTTTCAGAATTACAGTCACTGTTCCAAAAGTGCCATTTACAAATTATAATCTGTTGTAGAATTTAAATTCTTAAGCAGTTATCTTTCTGTTAAAATCATTTAAGAATATTTTGTCACTTTTCTCTATATTTACTTGTGTTGCACAGGAGCTTGCCTGAATGTGCTGATTTCTGTTTGTTATTACTGTACAGCACAATATATGGAGTGCTTCATATCTTTGTCACAGGGAGAATTAAGTATTCTTGTGATATGATCAGCAATTTCCTTAGGGGGTTCTCTGAGGTGTCTTTTGTGAATATAACTGATTGCGGTCATAAAATCTGAGAGAGAGAGAGTCTGGTGCATTTAGTAAAAACTAACCTAGGGAGCCAGAGTTTTGAATGTCTAAGATTTATGTTGATGTTCCAGTTGAAGTCCAGTCAAACTGAAATAAAATTGGATAGCTGTTTCCATTTGGAACTACTGAATTTGTGTGCTTCCAGTGAATACATAACTATGAATGCTCTATCAAATATTTATTGCAAGCCTCATTAATATACTCATGTACAGGTACATATGTAAAGAAAGACAGATATTTTTCTGTGCCTTTGCATACATACAATTATCTGCACCCAGCCTGTGCAGGTCAGGTGAGATTATTCGATATGCAGTTGTTTGGCCAAGCATACATAAGTATAACATTAGTTTCAACATGAAGTATATGGGCTTCTCAATGTGGCACTTGTTACGTATGCTGCTTACAGTTACCATCAAGAAATAGTGAGCCAAGAGCTTGATTAAGATGCGTAGATGATTCTGAAATCCACATTTATTATCAATATTTAAATCCCCAAATTATATTAACAACCAGCATTCCCCCCAAAAAAAATGACAAAACTTCAGTTTGGCGTATTGTAGTACTGTATTTGGCATACTTCAGCTTTAAATATTTGTTTAAATATTTGACTTATTCAGTGATGAGAACAAGAGGATCTACTTCATTTTACAAGCATCTTCTATTGTAAACTCTGTGTTATAAATATAATTAAATTGGGTCACGTAGAAGACATAATAAGATTTATAAATGGAACTTAGAATTCATTCACTGATTGAATTAGATGCTGCAATCTCTGGAGTACTCTTTCCATTATTGTACAAGCCATCAACTTTGATTTACTGATTCTGGTGCACTTTTTAAATTGATTAAATGAAGGATTGGCTTTCTGTTTTATCACTAAAATACAGATTTTTGGAATGAGATATTTTGGAAAGTGGTCATTACTGACTTTTTATATGCACAATATTGGTTTCTAATGGGCAAAATGGCATCTGTGGTTAACAAGAACACGCTATATATGCTCTGTAAACCCGTATTTTTAGAATGCATCGACTGTCTTCAATTTGTATCTGCCAAATGATTATATTTTAGTGAATCTTGGTTCAAAAATGAACTTTCTGCAGGAGATTTTCACAGCAGCCTAGAAGTCAATCATTTGAAACTTTTGGAGTAATTTTGAATTCTGGAAATTTAAAGGAAGGTTGGGAACTTGGATACATTATTAATCTAATTGAGTTGTTTAAAGTGTTAAAGGGATTAGAAACCGAGTAGAAACTGAGGAGATCTATCCTGTGGGGGGTTTAATCTATCCTGTGGGGGTGACACAATTTTCAAATTGAAATTTGTCATTTTAGAAATAAGACCAGGAAGTACTTTTACACAATATGGGTAAGGGAAATTCACCAATTTCCTGCCCCAAAAATTTGTGGATGCAGTATCAGTTTAAAATTTCAAAACTCGTATGGACAATTTTTAATTATGTAAAGGTATAAGCAGATATGGATCGAAGGTGGGAAAATGGAGTAAAATACAAACACACAAATTAGGAGCAGGAGTAGGCCACTCATCCCTTGACCTGGCTCTTCTCTGGACCTTCTGGTCCAAATCCCATATGCTTTATTGATTATGTTCTCAATGTATCTTGCCACTTTCAAAGATCAATGCACAGGCATCCATTGTCTTTGTGTCCCAGTGCACTCTTTAGAACTATATTGTAAAGTCTTTGTTATCTCTCTGTATGTCTCCAGCTGAAATAAATCATCTCACATTTATAACACTTATTTCTGTTGCTTTGACACCATGACAAAGAAATCGGCTGTATATCTGATGTACAGTAAATGGTACCCAAATTGGAAAGCTACCAGGTCTGGGGATTTTGATATCTTTCCTATTACAACAACATGAAATTGGTGAATGCCCATCTATCTTCCCCTTAAAGAGAAAAGAATATTGCCATCATTAGCTAGAATTGAGATTTTATAATTGGAATTTTGCATGTTCAATTATTGTACAGTTCTGTCCACCCAGTTATTTGAATGTACAAAGATACATTGTGACCTAAGTTGTTAATGCTATCTTCTGCAGCTAAAGATGATGTTCAAAGTTAGTTTCATACAGTTTTCAAATAAATTCTGAGAAATAGGTTCCCAGGAGCCAAACCCAGTATTTATGCTATCAAATCTTTTTCTGTTGTCTATAGTCTTAGTTCACCAAGCAACCTCAGTTTTCCTTATTTCAAACATTTGTTCTTCATGGCACTGTTGTTGGAGCTGCGCTCATCCAGGCAGGTACAGAGTTGGTGCCTTGCAGATGGCAAAATGGCTGTGGGTAATTTGTGTGGCTAGTGATGTTAAGTTTCTTGTTAATAGCAACATGTTCATGGTGGTGTAATTAAGCGATAGTAATGAATTTTAATGTCCAGATGAGATGGTTAGAGTCTGTCATTAGACATGGTTATTACTAGTCTTTTTTGTTGTTATTTGCCACTGACCAACCCAAGCCTGAATCTTGTCAAGGTCTGCTGCGTGCTAATACAAACTGCTTCATTTTTGAAGGGTTTGCAAGTTGACTGAGCATAGAATCACATCATCATACAGCACAGAAGAGGCCCTTTGGCCCATTGAATCTGTGCATCAAGCATTGTGCAATCATCAGCAAATATCTCCAGTTCTGACCTTATGATGGAAGGAAAGTTATTGATGAGCCAGTTGATGATGTTTGGGCCTAGAATGCTGTCCAAGTAACTACTGCAGTGATGTTCTGAGGCTAACCTGATTATGCTCCTAGAACCACAACAGTCCTCCTTTGTGCTAGGTTTTACTCCAAGTTACTGATTCCCATTGTCTTCAATTCACACTTTCATTGCTGATTGAGAGTAAACTGTTACATTGTTAAATGTATGGATTGGATTTGTCCTGTTTTTGGTGGAAAGGACATACTTTGACAATGCCAGTGTTGTAGCTGAACTGGAATACTTGGCTCTGTACAAAACCAATTCTGGAGTAAAAGAATTCAGTACCACAGCCAGAATGTTGTCAGGAACCATAGTTTTCATATTATCCAGTGCATTCAACTGTTTCTTGATATTGTATAGAGTGAATTTAACTGGCTGAAATCTGGCATCCAAACTAGTGGGAATCTCAAGGCTGAGATGGATCATTCACATGGTACATTTGGCTTGTCATTTGCACTTTCTTGGACTCCGTACCATAATTCCCATTCCCTCTAATTTTTCCTGCCACACCGAGCAGCAGCTTTTGGAAGCGGAAGCTATGCATTGACACCTCCTGGTGGCTGTGCAATCACATAGCTTATAAGGAAAGTTCAGTACAAACTTGGAGATTTCTTTGGGGTTGATGGACATACTATTTATGTAGTGCATTGGTTTTGCTGTAAGAATAAGATCTGGGGATGGTTATCTGTGATTTATGTATAAAATACTATATATATGACATTGTCATTGTTTTTATGCTGATTAAACTATTTCCTTAAAAATATGATTGAATGTTCTTTCAATGCAGTGGTTGGAGAACTGTAAAAGAACATTCGGCACAGTTGATGCTCTCCAGAGAACAAATAGAGAAGCACAAGTGAGTGATCTTTGTTTCTATTTTTTTGCAACACTACACCACCCCTACACTTCATTTTTCTGCTTTGCTTGAATAGAAAAAGCCTTAGGAGAAAGTGAAAGAAGGATCATTAATGTACTTATCTGTTTTCAAAATGTAATTCTCCATCTCAGCAACTTGTATTATTCTGGGAACTGAGTAATACAAATAAGTTATTTCTCTCGAGCGTGATGTTTACACATCCAGCTAATTGCACCAGAATGTCTCCTATATTTCAAAAACCTTTATCACATTCTTTATCAAAGATGGAGAGCATGGGAAGACAAACATTGGACTATCCTCACGGAACTATGTACTGAAGGTCATAAGTGTGAGGTTTGAATCCTGCAATATCACTATTTATAAATACTAGTCTAAACTAATCTTTACATTATTTATGATTGCCTGCTTTCAGATTATTTATCACCTTTTAATGTTGCTCCATATTCATGTGAGTAAATAAATTTGCTTTAAGATCATGTTAGTCAAACAAAAGAGGCTCCATATGAACTATCTTGGGTTATTTTGTATTCTAAAATAAATAGGTATTAATGGTCATTCTTCCAGTGACTGTCCTGAATGAACAAAAACAAAGTTGCTGAAAAAGCTCAGCAAGTCTGGCTGCATCTGTGAAGGAGAAAATAGTTAACTTTTAGGGTCCGGTAACCCTTTCTCAGAGCACAAGTTCTGAGGAAGGGTCACCGGACCCGAAACGTTAACTCTGTTTTCTCCTTCACAGATGCAGCCAGACCTGCTGAGCTTTTCCAGCAACTTTGTTTTTGTTCCTGATTTACAGCATCCGCAGTTCTTTCGGTCTTTGTTCCTGTCTGGAATGATCTGTTTATCTGTCAACTAACTAATTAGCAAAACAAACTGATTCAATTACTCTGTTTCATTTTTTATCATTGTACAGCACTGTAAATGAAGAAACAACCAATAGAAAATTAGGGTGTAAACAGTGTTGTATTTACCCTTCCTTTGCTGTGAACAGGATGACTATTGCACATTTGTTTTTAAACTACATATTGGGCAGATCCTGCACTTCCAGAGTGTGTTCACATTCTTGCACACTATCAATTTTGATGAAGTATAAATCATGCAGAGTGCCTGCGTTGACCGATGAGTACCTGAAATGTGAAAAAAAGACAGGGCTCAAGTTAGAAACAAAGTAGGAAAAAAGGTTATAGTTGGATTTGTTTAGTGCTAACAGATATTTGCAAAGTAGTTTCTAAATTTTGAGTATGAAAATAGTATTTGATTAGATCAGATGAACTTCATTACAACTCTCTGACGTTTCTTCCACTTGAATTAACAAAACGTTTGAAGGTTTGAAGTTCTCGGAAACACTTTCTGAGGAAAGTCGAGAAAAAGAGGAATTGCGCAGGAATTTCTACAAAAAAATCTGAATGGAGTTCAGGCTGTTATGATGAGGCTGAACCAGGAGGGTAGGTTTGAGTGCAATGCGTTTATTCCTGCTGAAATATGCTACTTGATGTTCCAAAACTGGACAACTACCAGGATATGAATTGTCTGGGAAGCAAGTTTCACGGAGCCAATGAGTAGTCAATGTGTTGATAACTAGGCTCATTCACAATAATTCGTTTAGAATATCAATTCCCACGTGTTACTTGACACTACTGTGACAAATTTAAAAAGGTAATTAGCCATGTAGAGCATAGTACTCTTCTGTCCTTCAAATCATCTTTTTCTTTACCACATGAAAGTTTGCCAACAATATTTGAGAATTGAGTTGGATGATCACACTATGTTGCGAGACACAGATGCTGTTGATCATATCATCGAGCACCTGCATTAACTATTCCAGTGTCATTCATGCAGATTTTCAACACTCTTCATGACTCCTCAGATACTAAAGCAGTTCACATTCAAATGCAACCAGACTTAGATAATATTCAAGCTTGGACTGACAATAGCAAGTAAGTTTAACTCTTACACAAGTGCCAGGCAATGAACATCTCCAACGAAAGATGATCTAGTACACTTCGACATTCAATAGCATTATCATTACACAATCACCCACTATCAATATCCTGACCATTACTCTTGACCAAAATTGAAACAGACCAGCCATTTCAATAATGTGGGAACAAAAGAAAGTCAGAAACTAGAAATCCTGCAGCAAGTATTTCACCTCTCACATCTCTCCTCTCGCCTCTCCAAAGCCTATTCACCATCTACAAAGCAAAAGTCAGGAGTGGGGAGGAATACTGTCCATTTGTCTGGATGTGTGGATCTCGTACAACACCCAAGAGACTTGATACCATCCAACACACTATACCCGACCTTCCAGAATCACTCCCTTCCCCCAGTGATGCACAGTGGCAGCAGTATGCACAAAGTCAGGATGCACTGCAACAACTTGCCAAGGATCATTTGACAGCACTTTCCAAATCCAAGACCATCCAGAAGGACAAGAGCAGTGGGTGCATGGACATACCACTTGCTTGTCCTGCTTCAAGTCACACAGCATCCTAACCTGAATCTATATCACTGTGACAGGGTCAAAGTTCTTAACCTCCCTTCCTAACAGCATTTTGGGTGTTCCAGTGCCCCAAAGGCTGCAGCATTTTCAAGGAGGTGGTGTGCCACTACATTCTCAAAGGCAATTAGGGATGGGTGATAAATACTGGCCTGGCCAGCAATGTCCATTCCCATGAACGAATTGAAATAAAAGCCAATGGCTCCTGACTACATTCCAGCAATAGTGCTGAAGACATGGCAAAATTAGCCATGCCACTGGCTTAACTGTTCTAATACAGCTACAATACTAGTTTCTAGACAGCAATGTGAAAAATTACCCAGATATACCATATTTGCAAAAAGTCCCCAATTCCCTTGCCCAATCAGACCACTCTCAGTCATCAGTGAAATGCTGGAAGATGCCGTCAACAGTGCTATGAAGTGGCACTCACCTAGCAATAACTTGTTCACTACATTTGTTCCAGCCCTTCTGTCAGGGCCACTCAGCTCCTCACATCAATACAGCCTTTGTTCAAATCTGGACTAATGAGCTGAACTCCAGTGATGAAGTGAGAGTGCCATTGCCATAAGACATTTGACTGAGTGTGGCATCAAGGAGCCTTGTAATAAAAGCAAAATATTACAAATGCTGGCAATCTGAAATAAAAACAGAAAATACTTGAGGAACCCATCAGGTCTGGCAACACCTGTGTTGAAGGAAACAGTGTTTCAAGTCCAATGTGACTCCTCTTCAGATCTCGAAGGTTGTGGTCTTTGGAGATTATCATCCCAACCCTAGGACATCTCTGCAGGAGTTTTTCAGAGTGGTATCCTAGGTACAGCCATCTTCAACTGTTTCATCAATAGCCTATCCATCATAAGGTGAGAAATGGCAATGTTCATTGATGGTTGCACGGTGTACAGCACCATTTGTGACACCTCCAATACTAGAGCAAGACGTGGACAACATTCAGATTTGGGCTGATACATGGCAAGTAACATTGGCATCAACAACTACCTCCAACAAAGAGTATCTAACCCCCACCCTGAATATATTCTACACCCTTGGTGTTGGTAAAGAGGACTTCTGCAGGTTTAATTCAATTTTTTAGATATGTATATACAATTATACACAAATTTGGTAAAGCAGTGGTCTCAGCACCAGGCTCTGGGGGAACCTCACTCCATACTTGACTCCAGTTCAAAAAATAATATTATCATTACTTAGTTTCCTGTCGCTCTGCCAACCACACATCCATGCCTTTTATTCCATGAGCTGAAACCGCCAAGCCTTTCATATGCCACCTTTTTGGATGACACTTTGCAATTCATATATACTACATCAAATACATTAGCCCCATCACAATTAATTATTACCTATCAAAAGCTCAATCAAGTTAGCTGGATACAATTTGCATTTTATGTATCCCTGGTGATGTTCTTTAATTAATCTACACTTGTCCATGAACAGAATTTTCATTGAGGTGGGATCAGGGGATGAGGGGCAATGCTAATGGCAGCTATCTAATTAAGGTAAGTTAAAAGACAACTAAGGCTAATTACCAGACATTGACTAGGATATTCCACTTGTTAGCAGCTGTAGTATCGGAAGCATTCCAGCTACCCCAGTTTGCTTCCCAGCATGAAAACTGAAGTCTCCACTCCAGGCATACCCTGAAGTACACCTCTTGTCTGTATGATCTCAGTCACAGTCACAGGCTGCCTTATAGGTGAATTCCCTTTCCACTAAGGTCACCTGCAGGCTGTGGTCAGTTCTTACACTAGACTTCAAAGACGCTTAGGGGATGTCTTAAGATGGAAGCAGCCTCTTTATGATGCTTGAATACCTCATTTGACATTCTCACTTTGATAACTTATCTGTCATTCTTAACTGAAAGGCAACTAGCCCTCTGGCAGCTAATTGAACAATTCATGGAGGAATATTACCAGTGCATCCACTATAGGTACTTCCATTTAAAAGGCATCTAGATGGGCACATGAATAGGAAGGTATAGAGGGATATGAGCTAAATGCTGGCAAACGGCACTAGATCAGTTTAGAATATCTGGTCACCATGGATGAATTGGACTGAAAGGTCTGTTAGCTGTATGACCGTAGGACTCTTAATATCCTAGGGTGCACTCATCAGGCCCAGGTTCTTAGTTGCTTTGGTTCATTTCCCATTATGAGTTATCTTGATAGTCTTCTTATCCAGTGGCAAGAAAGGACTTATGAATGCAGTGAAAACTCCAACCCTCTTACCCTACGTTCTCCTGCCATTTTTATTTGGGTATGTGAAATTTCTTAAGGTGCCTGAAAAGTGTAATTTGATGTGGTCAGCTCTACTGAATGAGACTACTGAAGGAGCTGAACTCAAGTTCTTTCCTATTATAATTCTGAGAGGTTTTAACCTAATCGCCTACATTTATCAAAGCATTAATGAGAATAAATAAAGATAGAATCTTTGGGAGAGGCGATCGGGTAGTGATAATGTCACGAGG